CAATATTGGGCCAGTTTTCTTGCGATCGACGAGCTTCTCTAGTTCTGGCTTACAATATTTACAATCCTAATAAATCTCACACACATCCATCATCCATCTGCAAACATATATGATCGGGTGCATACACCCGGGACGATTCTTCTGACCGATCATGACGTCCACAGATCATCTAGATACTCCCTTGTGTGTGTGTGTGGGTGGTGTGCAGCAGACAGCATTGAAGTTGGTCGTGGTTGATGGCCAAGCATTGGAGAGGGACCTCCCCAGTCAAGCTGTCTCGTCCCGACTCCCAAGACCGATTCGGGGGCATCATCATCATCACCATCATCACCATCAACTCGGGACTTGCGGAGTTTTGAAAAATGTGGCGGCAATTGGTTCATCAAGAGAACGATTGATCTTGATAACTTATCACCTCCCCCCAAAAAAAACTTTATTCTTCTTGCGGGGTTTCAGTCCTTCTCTCTATGTATAGAGAGATGTTCTTGGCTCTAATCTAATGGGGAAAAACGCATGCTTGGGAATCGGGAGAATAATAGGCTGGCGGGGTTTCATGACTTTGATGAGCATGTAAATAGCTGGGATGGCCAAGAGGATCTCTGACATACTATATCCACACATTGAGGAAGATGGTACATCGAAAAGCAAAGCAAGCTGATCTCCTAAAAGAGAAAGATCTAAGACCATCTCCACCGCGGGGACTAAATCGCGGGACTAAACCAAATTTAGCTACCCAAACCCAATTTAGCTTCACCACCGGAGGTGCTAAATGGGGGGCTAAACTGAGAATATCCCTCTCGGGCCCTATATCGTTCCCACATCTAGGACAGTATAGCTCCTCAAATAGCTACTCTGGTTCACATATCACACATCTCATTTTATGTGATACTCCACCTCATCCTCTACACAACCCCCGACCAATATCCCCTACCAGATATCCATCACATATCGGCCATCCCATATACACAATTCAATACCAACTAAACTCTACACTACACGATGACAAGAAGACCAAGCTGCCCCGTTGACCTGACCACCAATGACGAAGATGATAATGGCGATCAAAATAATGACAATGGCGATAATGGTGATCAAAACAATGACAATGGTGAGCTAATCTTTTTGCATCCATTCAAACTTTCATTATTCTATCTATCTAAATTTTTTCTACTTGTTAAATCAGATAACGCAAATCCAGAAAACGAAGGAAAGAAGAAAGCTCCAAACTACACAGAACCCGAGGACTATGAGCTATGCCGCGCCTGGGTTCAGGTATCCGAAGACCCTGCCGTTGGGACCAATCAAGATGGAGGGACGTTCTGGCAACGAATCAGCACGGTATATCACGAGGCTGTACCGAGACCGATTCGGCCCGTTACCAGCTTGAAAAAACGATGGAGCAATAACGTGCAGCCGCCAATCAATAAGTTTCGTGGTATTGTTCACCAGGTTGAAGCACTCAACCAGAGTGGAGCTTCCACCGAGGATCAGTTGAACCGAGCTCTCCGCCTGTACGCCGCGGATCAACTAACACACTTCAAACATCTGCGATGCTACAACCTTCTCGTTAAAAGCCCCAAGTGGAATTCGTACTGCCGTGATAACGATGCTAAAGAAGCTGCAAAGAAAAAGCGAGCTCGAAGTCCGAGTAGCGAGGCTCCACCATCAAATCAACTGGCATCGACACCAGCACCATCGGATCCTGTCACCGACTTTGAAGGTACTGGCACGGATCCATCACCTATGGAGCGACCTATTGGAAAAAAAAAGGCTAAGACACTCATACAAATCGCAGCCAAAGAGCAAGTTTGGAAGGACGAAGTCGCAAGTGCTCATGGTAAAATTGCCTCTGAATCGAAGCGACTCAACGACATCTTCGATAATGACTCTCAGTCGCTCAAGGCCATCGCGCAGAATAGCACCACTACATCTCAGCTCGCAATAATGAACACAAACCTCGAAGGCCTCGACGATGAGCAAAAGGAATACTTCAAGCTCAAAAGGGCGGCGATTCTCAAATCACTCCGAGAGGAAGCTAATTCAAGCTCCGATTAATTCATCAATTTGGTCGATTTGGTGGTTCGGTCAACTATGTGGTGTTACTATTGGCTCTCTACTGGATTTTTTTTTCTTCATGCTTCTACCCATCAACCGGCTTTCAATCTTTTGTTGTCTTGTTTCATTCTTCTCTCTTATCTTAACCCGATCGGTTTTCTTTTATTTCCTAAGAAATTCATTTTATTTTGATCTTTGAGTTGACAAGTCTACCTTACTTGATGTGACACCGCGCATGATCTCAAACAATGAAAGCAATGAGATTGAATTGAAATAATTTATTGAATTTTGAACTTTATGAGAGTGAAATCAAATCAGTCAAATGTGAAAACAAATCGGTCAAATGAATCGGTCACATATCAGTCGGAGGGACACAGACACAGCAAGATAACCTGAACTTTCATTGAATTTTAAATTTTATCAGAATGAAAAACAACTTGGTCGGAGGGACAAAGACAAAGCAAGATAGAAAGATGAGATGAAAGTGAAAACTAAAGAAAAAATTCAAGATTCATTATCGCTGTCTTCCTGTCGACCTTTCACCTCCCATTGATGTTTTATCAGATCGGTGCGTAATTGGAAATGTTTGCTGGAATCCCTCATTGATTGATAATTATCGATAAATTCGGCAAAAGAAATCGAACTACCATCTCGCAACACCTCCACTGGAGTGACAACGGCCGCAGGAGATTGGTCGTAGCTGTACTCCAAGTAGGAATCTCGCTCATCCTCCACAATCATGTTGTGGAGGATGATACATGCCTTCATGATAGTCTTGAGGTTGTGATGTTTCCAGCCACGAGCAGGACGGGACACAATGGCGAACCGAGCTTGAAGTACCCCAAAGGCGCGCTCCACGTCTTTGCGTCGGGCCTCTTGCATTTTAACAAAATGTTTTTGTTCGGCTCCCTTCGGCTGCGACATTGTCTTGACAAAAGTTGGCCAATCTGGATAGATGCCGTCAGCAAGGTAGTATCCTTGTTCGTAGTTGTGGCCATTTATTTCGTATTCGCATCGCGGAGCTTCACCGTTCAAGAGATTGGCAAACAGAGGGGAGGTATCAAGCACGTTGATGTCGTTGTGTGAACCTGGCATGCCAAAGTAGGCATGCCAGATCCACATGTCGGTCGATGCAACTGCTTCAAGAATGATTGTCGGCTTCTTTTCTTTTCCTTGGAATTGGCCAGCCCAACCAGATGGGCAATTCTTCCACTGCCAATGCATACAGTCAAGCGATCCTAGCATACCAGGAAATCCTCGTTTGGCACCGTCAGTGAGAAGTCGCTCCAAGTCAGCGGGTGTTGGATGTCGAAGATATTCCTCGGAGTAGATAGAGACGACAGCTGTACAAAATCGGTCCATACATTGTAGAGAGGTTGACTCGGAGAGCTGGAGGTATTCGTCGTTGCAGTCAGCCGCACCCCCGTAGGCAAGCATTCTTAAAGCAGCTGTGATTTTAACAATCGGCCTGATTCCAGGTTTTCCCAACGCATCGGATCGAAGAGTAAAGTAGGTGTCAAAGTTTTCTACTGCCTCGGCGATCTTCAAGAAGAGAGGACGACCCATTCGAAAACGGCGCCGGAAGATATGTTCGTCGTAGAGCGGATGCGAAGAAAAATAATGGCCCATAAGCTTCTTGTAGCTTCCTTCAAAATCGCGGGGCAAATTGGGTTGTTTCCCTGGTTTCGAACCACCATGTGAGGGGAATTCTATTCCGTCTTCGTCGTCCTCGAGTAGCATTGGTGTGACTTGAAGAACCGCATTCATCGTTGATCTTGACCTGGCGACAAGTTGCCTTCGTCGAAGTAGTATTTCTAGTACCGCTGGGTCGATGTCCATGGCAGATGGTGTATATACTTGTAGTGGTGAAGGGATCTATCTGGTATATGAGGGTCGGGGGGATCGAGGGGGATCGAGGGTATGACCTTTCACAATCAAAAGGTGCTACTCTGAGACTTCCCGGTACAAAGAAGCCTTTGGGCGGGGAGCTAAAAATTGCGCCGCAGTTGCGCGAGCTCAAAATTTAGGGACTCGTTTAGTCCCTTGCGGTGGAGATGGTCTAAGTGTCTACTGAGAAAATTTTCAGAGTTGGATTACATAATCACAATATGTACAGAAATTTGAATTTCGCAGCTCTAAACCAACTCTGGGAGACCCGCAGATGTTGACGGCAAGTCCTCCACTCAAATCTCAACAACAAAGATTGCTGTGTGTGTGTGACAGACGCAAAAACAAAAAAAAGAAACAACAATACACATCACCAATCCAAGTCTTCTCACACACCTTCATTCATTAATTCACTCACTCATTCATGCATGAGTGAGTTAATTCTTACATATAACAAACACCAAAAAAAAATCATGCCCAAGCTCTTCTTCTTTTAATTTCATTATTATTATACAATAATAATAACATAAAAAAAAAAAAAGAATTGGAAGATAGACAAAACAGGAAAAGTGTGTGAGTTGAATGAGGAAGCAATCAAAAAAAAGGGGGGGAATGGAAATGGAAAGGAACAAATACAACAAAGAAGAAGAGTAGACAAATGGAAGTCTGAGAAAAAAAGAACGAAGGAAGAAAACAAAAGGGGGGGAGGGGGTGATGTCCATAATTGAAAGTTCGAAGAGAAAAGAGAGATCCAGATGATGTGGGAGGGATGAGTGTTTAGAGATACATACATACACACACACAAAAGAAAAACAGAATAGGACAAAAAAGTGAAATAGATAGGAACAAGCAAGCGAATGATCACTTGCCCATAATACATAAGAGAACTACATCATCATCATCATCAACGTCAATCATCAAAAGAAAGAAACGAGAAACGAGAAACGAGAGGGGGGTGAGGTTCAAAGAGAGAAGAGGCGAGATATTCAAGTGACCAACAACAACCACAAGAAGAGAGGGAGAGAGGCAAAGAAGCCAGTACAACAAAAAAACGAGGATCATTCTTTTTTGTTAGAAAGCCATTGGGTGTACGAGCTGAAAGGTTTCTTATACTCAATGGTAGCGGGAACGGGGGCGGGTGCGGTGTTGAGATGATCGGTGAAGCTACTATCGACGGAGGTATCGTCCTGATCGATATCGAAGTCCTCATCGACCAAGTCCTTACGACTGCCACTAGCCCCATACGGATGCTGATGATCGTCACTAAGATCTTCGTCCGAGGAGGAGAACAGCGAGAACTTATGTTGGTCGTAGACCTTCTTCTTCTTCTGAATCTGGACGTTAGAGAGCGGAGATCTGGGGAGCATTCTGCGCGTCTTCTCCGTCGAAGAAGAGGCGGCCGTAGTCGTCGTAGTCGTAGGATCAGTTGAAGCAGTGGTAGCAGAAGAGGAGTTAATGGAGAGGTCGTCAGAGGAGGATGAGGAGGACGATGAGGACGCCGAGGGATGGTTAGGAGTCGACGGGGTAGGCGGAAGGGCTTGGTTGGGATGGCCGGAAGGGTGGAAGAAGCGGCTAGCGGGTTTCTTGATGAATCCGAAGGTCGCGTTACTGGGGGAGACCGAAGGTGGGGGGGTGGAGGGCAAGAAGGTGAGGGTGGCATGCTTGCCCTTCTTGTTAGTCGGCGTCACCAATCCACCGGCAGCATTAGCAGCAGCAACGCCAGCGGCGGAAGTGGGCGAGACATGGGCGGATTGGCCGGCGGCGTAAGGCTTGACGACGATCGGCGAGGGCGCGTTGGGACGGTTGAAGCTGAGCGGCTTGGTGAAGAGTTTCTTGCGGCTGCTCGGGGTCCGGTTCTCGTCCTTATGGGACGATTGGCTGAAGCTGGAGGCCGCGTTGGAGAGCTTGCGCAAGCGGCTCGAGAAGCCGCGAGGACGCTTGGCTTGTTCATCAGAAGAAACCGACGAACTCTTCGAGATCGAGGTCGAGGTGAACGCAGAGACCAAGGGGCCAGTCGCGACCACCTCAGCAGACGGCTTCTTAACATGCGTATGCGCCTTCTGCGGCGTAACATGGAGCCCAGGCATGGGTGATCCAAGTTGGTCGAAGCTGCCGATGGAAGAGGTGTCCGTGAATTTGGTAGAGCTACTTGAACAGCTCTCGTACTGCATTGGACGCTTGACGCCCTCGCCGCGGATCCCAGCAAAGTTCCTGCTCGAGCAAACCTCGGCCAACTTGGGCTGAGGTAAGGCGGGCTGCTTGGTCTTCTTGGCGAGCGCGTTCTTCCAGGAAGAAGGTTGATCAGGGGTGGTGATTTGCGAGACCTTGGGGCTAGGTACGATATCCTTTCTCCAGGCACGAGCAGCCTCCCTGGTTGCACGGGTAGCACGACTAAGCTCAGCAGTAGTCATGTTGAAGTTCTTGATCTCGGAGATTTCCGTCTTCAATTCTTCCAAAGAGATCCGCGCCACCGGGTTCAAGGAAAAGATCCGCTTCAAGATCGAGTTACAGTGCTCACTGATCGGCAGGATCGAGCGCAAAAAGTCCGGGTTGGCTAGGTAAGCTCGGAAGGTTTCGTCAGATGGACAGGCTTGCTTCCATGGGTTACGTCCGCAACTCAAGTTGACCAGGATCACTCCAAGTGACCAGATGTCATTATGTAATGTAGAGTAGGCGCCCAATCGCTCGAATAAACCACCTTGACACTCTGTGTGAAAGAAAAGTAAAAGAAAAGGCATTAGTCCAATGGTACCACTGAAGTTGGAGAAAAGGGACATACCAGGACTCATGTAAAAAGTAGATCCACAGCCGAAGTCAGAGCTAGTCTTCTCAGCAGTAGCGAGCCCAAAGTCGGCGAGGACGACGTCATCGCCCTGTTTCTTACAGAGGATGTTTTCAGGTTTGAGGTCACGATGGGAGATACCGAGACGATGACAGAACTGAACGGCCTCGATGATCTGGATGAAGACGCTCTTGATGGCCTCAGTCTTGCCGAGATAGCGTTGTTTCTCCGTAATCATCCCGAACAAGTCTCCATCTGGACAATAGTCCAGGATCACAAAGATGCACGAGGGCGACTCAATCACCGCATGCAAGGTCACGATCGACGGGTGCGATGAGGCTAGCGAATGTAGCGCTATCTCGCGCCTTTGGAAGGACTTTTGACGCGCGTCTAGGCCGATCTTGTTGAGCGCTTTGACCGCATATAACTTAGGTTTCTCCATGTCGGGCGAAGTGAGATCTGGAGGAAAGACGCGTGTTTTTAGTCAGCAAAGGTTGTGGAAGAAGCCCTTATATAACTTGTAAAGAAAGTCTTACCTCGGGCGAGATAGACAACACCATAAGCGCCTAGTCCCAGGACACTCATGAACTCCAAACGACCATGATCAATTCGATGACCAACGAGGTTGTGGTTGGAAGCGGTAGAAGCCTTGGTGCTGCTGTTGTTGTTGTTGGCCATTTTTTCTTTAGTGGAATCGATAAGTTCAAGACCTAAACAATCAACACGCGCGCGTCAGTATATATCAAGCTATTCGAAAAATGAAAAGTAAAAAACACTAACCTTCGGGGAACAAGCTAAATTCAGGGTCAGATTCTTGTTGGGCACAAGGGAAGATCAGGGCGTTTGGGAAGTGAAGTTCGGGGGAGTTTTCGAGATGAAAGGGCTGATCGGAATGCAAGTAAGGTTGACGATGATCGAACAAGACCGAGCTTTTTCGTTGCTGATGGAGAAGATGATGTTGTTGTTGTTGGGAAGCCTTAGCCGAAGCAAGTTCGGGGTTAAAGTTTTTAGGAGGACGTTGATGGTGGGAGTGACTAGAAGACTTAGACGACCTTTCAAAGGTACGTTTAGAGGTGTGGTTAGGGGTCAAGCAATCGGCTTGGTGTTGGGGCAACAGACGAGGGATTTGTGAGGGATGGAAGTGAGGGGAATGGGAGCCAGCAGGAGTATAGTAAGAGTGGTAGGAACCCTTAGAATTCAAACAAGAGGCAGCGGCAGCAGTAGTATTTGCTGCAGAGGAGACAGAAGAGACGGATGAGACCCGGAAGGTGGGTTGTTGTTGTTGTTGTTGTTGCTGCTGCTGAGGGTGGTGGTGGCTATTGTTGGAGGAAGACTGGCTTGACCTCGGGAATGAGGAGTAGCTTGGGGGAGAGAAGAGAGACTGTTCAAAGATCGGCGGCACAGCAGACGAGTTAAAGGAAGGTACAAAAGAGCTGGACAGATGAGCTTTCTGGATGTTATATTGGAGAGGTATGAGCTGGTGGGGAGGATGAGATGATGCGTGCGGATAGTTGGAGATTGGCGTCTGAGGGGGTGAGGCG